CGTGTCAAACCCGGAAATGATCAAAGTTTGACCGTTGTGCTCGGTCATTGTGTTTGAAGGCAATTGGCCTTTCGGCTATACAAGAAATTGGGAGATGAATAAACATAAACAAACAAACAAAAAAATTAATAATGTATGTAAGCTATTGACAATTATTTACATAGAACCCATGCTATTTCATTAAGCCAGGTTATGGAAATCGGTGCCTTTGTGTCAAATTAAGTATATATTGGAAATTTTTTGGGGGGGTGGGGGGTCTTATACAGTTATACTTGTAAGCATTCCTTAGATGTCCTTTGTAAATATAACAATCGATAAAACGAGCAAAATAATTCTCTTTAAGCCATGCAATTCCCTTTTATAGAATATAATCAAGACCCGTTCAAACAATCTAAAACAAGATTCATTACATGCAGGTTAATTGATAATTATTTGATATCTAGAAAAGTTTAATGATATACTTTGTTTAGTCTTCAATATGATTTAATAAAAAGAGGTCGAGGTTCTGCTTTGAAAAAAAGCTATGGAATCAATCCACACATTACTCACTGATATCCATGTCACATGAGGTTTGTTTCCACCAATCACAACACATGTTAAACGAACTTCCGCTCCTATTTCAATGTGGTGGGTTTGGTCCGTAAAGATAATTTGTAAACTGTTCACTGATGAATAAAAAAATAAAATATAAAAAACATGTTATATATATGGGTTTTTTTTTTTTGTTTCTCATATAGGCCTTTATCAGTATTAAAAGTCTGCATATTATTAATAATAACATTCATTTAAACAGCGGATCTTAAACGTATGAAATATCTTATAACCTAAACCTACCTCTCATGAATAATTCTACAAATATAAATTTTTAAATGAACAATGAATTGTTTCTTTTTTTGCTTTTACAGTATGGGAATTAACTGTTAAACGTTGCAGCTTTGCTAAAAAAAAAAAGCCGCTTAAAATATGGACTATGTATTTTTCCGCAATAGTTGCAGCAACATTAATTGTTTGAACTATTTTTAACATTCCTATTATCTTTTATTGTAAGTACAATATAAAACAAGATGTGTTTGTGAAACACTGATGCCCCCATATGGCTACATAGTGAAGATTAAACTTTTTTAAAATGCAAATTTAATATATTGGTACCCAAAGTAGGGTCTCCTAACTAGAAATACAACATTGTGAAAAATGAAAGTCCTATTACCATCTATTCCCAATAATGACCAGGCTAAAGTTTTTTCTAAAGTACAGAGATTTTCAAGATCAAGGTCAGAAGATCAATATTATTGGTATCCAGTGGAAGGTATTTCCACAAAGAACACATGTGTGAAGTATGGAAGCCTTAGCCCTTACCAATCGAAAGTTGTGGTCGTGGTTAAAAGATTTTAAAAGTCAATTAAATTCATAGATCAAGGTCAGAAGGTCAAGGATATTTGGTATTGAATGAAAGGTCTTGTCACAAGAATTACATTTGTGAAGTATGAAAGCCCTAGACCTTATTCTTGAAAATTTATTTCAAAGGTTAATACTTTTTATAAGTTCGGAAATCTGTAAGGTCAAGGTCAGAAGGTCAAAGTTATTGGTATCCAATAAAAGGTCTTTCAATAAAAAATACATATGTGAAATATGGAAGCTCTATCCCTATCCGTTCAAAAGTTATGGTCAAGCTTAAAAAAAAATTAAAAAGTAGGTCAAACTCATAGGTCAAGGTCAAAGGGTGAAAGGTCTTGATACCAAATGAAAGGTCTTGTCACAAGAATTAAATGCATAAAGTAGGAAAGCCCTAGCTCTAAACCTTTAAAAGATATTGTCAATGTTTGGTTTTTAAAAGTAGGTCAAAATCCAAGGTCAAAGGGTCAAAGCTCCTAGTATCCAATGAAGCGAAGAATTACATATGTAAAGTATGAAAGCTCTATCCATTACCGTTCAAAAATTATCGCCAAGGTTAAAGTTTTTTCATTAGTACGTAAATCTCCAAGGTCAAAGTCAAAAGGTCAAGGTTGGTGTTATCCAATTAAAGGTCTTGCCATAAAGAATATATGTATATATGAAGTATAAAAGTCATAGTATCTACCGTTAAAAAGGTATGGCTAAAGTAAAAATTAAAAATTTTTGTGTTTCCGTGGGTCAAACTCCAAGGTCAAGGTCAAAAGGTCAAATTTGGTGGTACCCAAAGAAAGGTCTTGTCACAAGAAATACACAAATGTGTACAATGTGAAAGAAGAAAGTCATAGCTCCACAAAATCAAAAGTTATGGGCAAGGTTAAAGTTTTTGCGGACAGACAAACAGAGAGATAGAGTGACAGACAGACGGACACGACAAAAACTATATACCCCCGAAACTTCGTTTACGGTGGGCATAAAAATACAATGTAACACATCAATAAATCTTTGGAGACAATAAATTGGAAAGAAATAAATGGTGAGATAAAAATTGCCTACCTGTCTGAATAGGTGAAACAAGGAATAAAAGAATCATCAACAAATGGACTGGACGTGCAAAATAAAAACAAGCTTTTTATTTATTTCTAAAATATTTTTTTATTTATTTTTTTTTTATTAAAAAAAAGATATTCAGATAGACACAGGCCCAGTAATTATATCGTGCTCTTTAATTAGAGAAATGAATAACGCTCTTAATATTGCATGTATAGGGTGAGGATTCTTCAAGTTGTTTTTTTTTACTGGGGGAGGGGGGCGTTCAATTCAGGAACCCCATGGTGTTTTCAGCTTATAAGAAATAATGGGAGCACTGATAATCAAGGTACGCATATATCAGGACAATATTAACAGTGAATCTTTAATGTTTATCATTTGTTTACATCTATACTGCTGGAATATACAGGGGGTGAGGGGATCGGCCTCTAATCTATGATCCTTTGTATTTTTCTAGCACTAGGCCAAAATAAAAAATACCTTTGTTTCCCCTAACGCGACCGACTCAATTAAATCGCACCGACTGAAAAGATTTTTTAAATAAGATGATTCAAAAATTATTTTTATTGTTAACAAGTTTTATAAAATACAATTTCATCAAAATCAGTTTTTATCAGAACGGCTGACATTGTTCTTTTGTGATTTTTAACATTTGTTGGAAACAAAATGGCGCCCAGATGTGATTACAGAGAATTATAGTTCTTCAGAAAACAATGGCGACGTCTCAATCTTATGCCTTTGGCTAATTAGAATTCTTCACTTTTGAAACTCTTAAGATACGTCATACACGGTAAGACCCACCACATGAGCAGATGAGGGGCCCACCTAGTGAACACATCATTCAATTTCACTGCATTTTATATTTAATTTGAGTTTTGATCTAATAACTAGTTCATATATATTCCTATGTTTAATATATGTCATTATGGAACCATAAGAGTTGTTGTATAAATATGTCTGCATTTTCATCCTGATAAATATAATTCAGATGTCCTTTCTTCATGCCTTTATGTATGCATTAAACTTCGTGACCATGACATTGTACCGGTGTAAAGCAATGAAACCGTTTTCAACGTTCCTCATTGGGATTTGAACCTGCGACCTAAAATAAGCTACTTGCATCTTAACTCCAAAGCAAAATGCTCTAGAACCACTGCAAATCTCATAACCCTCAAAAAGGTATATTGATTGTCCAGGGGCGTAGCAGCGGGGGGGGGGGCACTTTTTTTCCCAACCTTACCTATACTATAACAAATGACAATTGAAAACCTGGTCCCCCAACCCCCCCCCCCCCCAGTTAGTGATGTACCGAAAATGAAGTAATAGAATTGGTACTGAAAGTAGTTGACACTGAAAAAAAGTTAGCCTTAGATATTTTACAACCCATGCAACTGATCGAATATATAACAGTTTTGAATTAATAAATCCCAAATTTTGCTTTTAAACGGCATATGTATGATACTTAGAAATTCGTTCACAAAGCGCTTTCCTTTGTACTTTTCTAATTTATAATGGTAATTTTTAATTTAAATTTTAGTATGTATTTTGAAAGCTGCTGTCGATATAAAATAAAATTGTTTACCTACCTACCGACCCAACTTGAAAATTTAGGGTCGGGTTAGGGGAAACAAAGATATTTTTAATTCCGGCCCTACTGTACTTTTAATGAAAATTTTGACCATCTCTTACTTATTTGGAATGAAACAGTAAATTCTGAATTTGATCAAGCTTTAATTTCTCATAAAAGAACAATAAATATAGAATATGGAAAACTAATACAATGAAGGGCCCTATAAATTTATGTTTGTATGTTAAAGTAGATAATACTCACTTGCACTTGAGACATCCATTTTGACCGTAAATCGTTCTGTGACATTTATAACACAGTTATCATAACTTAATCGGTCTGGCAATTATCTCAAAACCTAAAACACCATTCAACTTGAAATTTCGAAATTTGTAGTAATTTTTATTAACGAAGAATAAAATGAAGAATGTTGATTTTAAACTTTAAAAAATGTACAATTAATATATTCCAGTATACTGTAGCATTGTTTATTTTCTTGTTTTCCACTTCCTTCATTTCTATAATCATTAATTTTTTCGGTTGTTTCTTATTGGCATGACCAACAAATTCAAAATGCCAAGTAGGTCATACACACATTATTGCTCTAGCCAAATACTATCCTTCTTTCCATCTTTATCTCTCTTTCATTAAATATTCGTTCTTATATACTTGTACCTATGCTGTTTGAATTTGCGATATAGATATTAACCCTCTTTGATTATACAAGTTCGATAAAATGACCGACACTGTACTTTAGATCTATAAATATGATTAGCTAGTTTGTTCTTGTTCCTGCATATTCTCATTACATATAGTAGTGACTTATTCCCCCAAAACCCTTATGTTCCTTTCCTCTATCCTACTTTGACAGTCAAAGTCACAAAGTATTTCTTTTAAAGAGGCTGGGGGTGGCAGCCATTTTTAGACTATTTCTATCTCGTTTTAAAGAAGAGCTCCATATAAAGATATACAAAAATGATCACATTTTAAAACTAAAATGTATGAATTTTTTCCTTGCCAAATTATAGATGACAGCTTAAGATACCGTTTCTAAAAAAAATAAGTTTAATCTGGTGGTTAATTTGTGGTTAATTTGTTGACCCCCCAGCCTACGTAATTTGATATCTTCAATAATTCTAAAAATTATGTACCATCATGTCCTTTGAGAAGCTGCTGAGAAAACAACAAGAACAAAAAGGTGATGGAAGACTTTTTTAATCAACAATATGAACAATGATACAGGGGGATTCTTTCAATCAACTTAACCATTTTTAAATTTATTCCAAACTATATGAAAACCTACTTGAGTAAAAAATAAGATGCACTTCTAAAAAATGAACCATCAGATTAATTAAAACTCTTAATGAAACAATATTGTATAAGCGCCAATTAGCCAGCCCTTTGACCACAAACACGTTGACACTGCCCCCATGTATTAAAATTGTTTTCGTTGCCTTGACAACCGCCATAAATGAATCTCTCGCACCTTCTCGTTGCCGCGTTAAAGTGCCACCTGGGAATGCTGGCTCGACAAGGTCCCGTTACTTCTGGTAAAATACAAACACGACTGACAGCTCCTGGAATTAACAACAGCAAGATAGTACGTGTCATTATTTGCATAATAGTATGTGTTATTTGTATTTTAAACATTATAAAAGTAATACATTTTCGGGACAAATTAGACTCCTGCGATAAGAAGGAGGTAAAATAAGCTAAGGGATGTACACGTAAGTGTGTTTAGATAGTAACTCTCTGAATAAAATTGGCAAAACGAACGATTTGATACTTTCTCTTAACAAACACTTACTGCTAAATAAGTGCAAGAAATAAACTTCATTTCGAAAATCAAACATAAAGAAATGTTTCATTATAAGCTGTGAAAGATAGCTTCCAGTCAAATTATGCTGATTGAGAAGCATTCATCTCTTTTTCTTTCAAATAAGAAAAACTAAAAAAATGAATTTGTTCAAGACTGGTTACCTCCTCCGCCTCCGGCATTACCACAGGTGTCCTCACACTGCTGTCGGGTAATGAAGTTATTTCCGTTTCCTGCGCAGCCGCCGTAGATAAATCGCTCACACTGACCGCTAGCCATACTCCAGCTCCAACGAGGGATGAAGGCCCGACATGGACCGGAGTTACCAGGCAAACGACACATTCCTGAAAATATGCAAATATTTTGAATACGCAAAACAGTGTTCTAGTCACCTGTCGGCAACTGAAATGGAATCCGCCCCCCCCCCCCCAAAAAAAAAAAATGATAAAGCACATAATGCCATCAAAATCGTTGATGCATTTTATCAGAATGGACTTCTAGAAAAGAAGCCAGCTAATTTTCTGCTAGGGTGTACACAATACAGCGGTAAACGCTATCGGACAGGAGGACATTAACATTATTGAGGATAGTGGACACTGTCTTGGTGAATACTGATACTAACCAGGAGCAGGTCCGTCATTTCTATCACACACACGGCGACATTCCATTAAAGTGTTAAAACGGTTCCTGTTTCCACCACATCCGCCATAGACGAATTCCTGACACCGCCCTGTGTTGGGATTATACGTCCAGGAAGGAAAGAAACCCAAACAGTTCCCTGATTGCGCATGCTGCAAGAGGCAGGGACTTCCTGAAATTGACGACCAAAAGGTATTTTAAACTTCTTTTATCCAGCGCGTTAAGAATTAGGTATTTACATTGGTACACCCATGTATTAATATGTATTGCAAATGCGTGATGCAAATTTTCTTCTTGTTCAAACATTTAAAAATGGAACCACTGTCAAGAGGTATCCCCCAGTTCCATGGTTTGAATGTTTCGAATAAGTTATGTTTAACACCCATCAAAAGTTACATGTACGCTTTAATAATACAACCGCACACATAATTTGCTATATTTTCCATAATCGATACGGGTGCTTGGTTATATTACCTGGTGGAAACACGCCCCCGTCCCCTCCCCCTCCGCCCCCGCCACCACCCCCACATCTCTGCTGACAGGCCTGGATGGTTTGGAAGTTGTTTCTGTTGCCTCGGCAACCGCCATACTGGAAAGGCTCACATTGCCCGAGAGCAGGATTAAAGAAGAAGCGGCGCATGCTCGCTCGACATGGCCCCTGGACAGGCGGAAGTGTACAGACATCACCCACTAAAACAAAAACAAAGAAGATGTTCATGTTTAAAAAGTTTGATTACTGTTCTGTAGTATCTAATCTGTTTTTGTCTGCAAATTCATAATGATTTTTTTCAATCACTGCAATCGAACTATTCATATATGAGGATATAATCGTGACGGTCCCATTGTTTTCAAATCATTTGTTCAAAGAGGTGGATAAAACATTTAACATTGAATATGAATTTAGCAACCTCAATCCGATTCATGGAAAAAATTTATAAAATATTTTGTATCAACATTATTCACATAAAAAATGCTAGTTTTCCTGGTCATTTGTGAAATTTTCGATTCTTTTTAAATTTCTGTGTCCTTGATATTTTCAAAATTTTCATAGATGGTTATACCTTTTTCTAATAAAGGAAGTGATGGGCTCTTTAGAATAATTTTGAACATTACCAAAATTACTTCGATTCTACAATTCCATGCAAAAAGCAGCAAAACGAATAAAGTGCAATCAACTTATTTTATAGATAGATGCATCCGACCTTTAACCTTTTCTTGAGTATAATTCGATTAGGAGATGAGGTAAAATAGTGTGTAGGCTACCAAGGTAGTTTGAAGACCACTGTGCTCACCCGCACTATACAGTGTACATGTAGCATCAAAAGAAACACATTTCCAGGCACCTTTTGGGGTGTCCTCGAAATGGTCTCGGAGCTCTAATATACATACCGATTCCCCCACTGCCGCAGATTTGCTGACATTCTTGTCTGCTAGGAAATCTGTTCTCGTTTCCCTGGCAACCAGAATAGAAGAAGGCACGACATCTTCTAGTGATGGCGTCATAATAATAACTTAAGAATCTGCCTCGACAATTTCCGGTAAGTCTTGGTAAATAGCAAAATGGTTGTCTAGCTAAAATAAATAGAACATTTATTTTGCAAATTAATAGTGCATGGCAATTACATGTATCAAATTCTTTTCCTTCTCTTCTATATTGTTTTATGTATTTTATCTTTCATTTCTTTTTTACAAATGAAATTATGAATCATTGAAATTTAAAAGAAAATATGTAATTGTCGATAATAAATTACTTGGGACTGCGAAAAAAAAACTTTTTAGTCATGTATTCTCTTGTTTTTTCCCCCACTTTTAAACTTAATTTTTGTCGCAGTTTTGATATAATACCGTGCTCTTCTCTAAATATGTCTGGTTGTTTATAAATACAGTGTAATGATAGAGTGTTTTGTTTGTCTGTTTTTGTTTTGTTAAGGTCTTCCGTTTCCAACGGAAGACCTTCTACTGATTCTGTTGGTAAAGATTATTATTCTTTTTTTTTTTCTTCTACTTCCTAGACGCCAACTTTGAAGCCTCATATCTCACTCATTTCTCAATTGATTTCGCTCAAATTTTCAGAGGTACTAGAAGTTACTTAACTCTATCAAAATGCTGTCAAAAAATTCTAAAAGTCACTTCCGGTTTTGAGTTATTTCCCTTTAATCGAAAATTTATAGGCTTTCGTTTCCAGACAAAGGCTCAGAGACAGCTAAAGCTGGAGCAGAAATTCTACTGATTTTAGATAATAGAAGGATTGAAGTTGTGCACATCGGTTTTTGTTTTTCGATTTCTCTATTCAAAATGGCGCTATATTGGGGTCAAAAATTAGAACGCTTAAAAGAGCCAAAAATTACTCATGTTTTGCTTTTTATCTTCTAAACTAAAAATATTTTGTTAAAACATATAGAACATAATTTGTGCAGAATTAGAAGATCTTTCAAAATGATATCTCGGAAAAAGGGCTGGCCCCTTACATTAAGGGCCAGGAGGGGCAAAAAGTTTTTTCTTTATATCTCAAAAAGTATTGAGAATTTGTAATACGTCAAAGAAGCAAAGTTGTTTAAAATGTCAAGCTCAATCTATTAAAGTCGTCAAATTACGTCCGGCGACGTCACTTTCGGCCAAACCGGAAGTAGTCGGAAAACGCATATTTTGCCATTCTTGACAAGTTTTTTGGGTAACATCTGTCACTGGGAGCATAAAAACTAATTTTCCGTCCGTCGTCGTCACTTCCGGTCAAACCGGAAGTAGCAAAAATGGCTGATTTTTACATTAAATAACATAGATTTAGAGGATTCAAAGAATTTAAGGACGCTATTACTCATTTTTGTAAAAATGAAAGTTACTTCCGGTCAAACAGGACGGAAGACCTTTTCGTTGCTTTGCAACGAGCTTTGCTCTAGTTTATTATTTTTTTTTTTTTGCCTTTCCCACGTCTGTCAAAACCTGCAACAACTCCTTAATGCATGTACTGTATCTCATCTCGTGCAAGAGTGCGTTTGTTTCTTTGTTTTTAAGTCTTTTCAAGAATTTTCCTCTCAGACTGAGAAACCAACATAAACTGGCAAAGGGTTGCAAATTTAGACCTGTACTTGGGATTAAGACCTTTAAGCAGCTGTCAGGATCTTTGACAAGCAAGTATTGCGAGAGGGGTTCTACGGTCTATTTCAAAGAAACAGTCACCACGTAACAAAGTTATAAGACCAACTCATTACTCTGTAAATCTAAAACAAATCTATTTATCCACATCACTACGGTAACCTATAAAAAATGATCCTTACCTTGTTCAAGTCCACCATCAGGCGGAACGACATCTACAAATGTGTTTGTGTTATCTAAATTATTATCCGGGAAAGTAGTTCCTATTGCTACCCCTCCTGGCCCCCCAGCTCCGATTCCCCCTAGTCCGCCATTTACTCCCAGCCCGCCATTCCCTCCTCCTAGACCAGTGTTGAATCGTTGACCAATTCCACCATTTATACCTAGGCCGCCATTTCCTCCGAAAGCCCCACCGCCTCCGAAATCTTGTGTTAGGACCTCATTAGTGAAAAGCTGTAAAAAAGATACCGGTATGTTCAATTTAATATCAATCATACTATGATTTATTATATTATGAAGCATTTTGACCATCCTGGTTATTGTGTCGTTTACAGATTAGATAGTACTTGTAGGTAGTAATGACAGCATTTAAAAACTCCTAAAATAGTCAAAAGATGCTTTGATTCATTGATTTTAAATTGTGTTTTGTTTTACGTCTCATTCATGAGTAAGAGGCTTTAAAATAATGCTTTCATGTGTGTAATAAATACATTTCAAAGCATCATTAAAGGTATGACATAAAATAACATTAATCTGTTGAATTATCTATGGAAGGGAATTACCGCCAAAAGTCTATGTATCTTGCTTTTATTCTTATTCTGCCTACTTCTTTATGCTTTGTTATTATTGTAATTATATGTCACTTTATTGTTTTCATATTCGTCTTTATTACATTTCACTTTGACTTTTATCCTTCTTCATTTCGTCCTTACTTCTATGTTTCTTTATTCTTGTTAAGTCATTTTATTTTCTTTTAAATTGATACAGTATCTGAAATGATTATCTCTATTACGAACGTTAACTCAATCACGCAAACAATGAAGCATATTCAATGAAGACGAATACGAGTTGTCCTAATTTAGTGCCGCATTATAACGCTAGGTGGCAGGGGTGTTCGCTAAGAGTGTTGGTAAGATTAGGTAAGCAAACCGGGCCGGGGTTATTCGAGTTTTTTCCAATTTTTGCCATAATACTTTATCAATCGAACTTAAATTTTCAAATGAATGATGTTTGTTATTAGTTCAGGTATGTATACGATACATGCCAATGTACCCGATACATGCCATTCTCTCGGAAGTCTCGCTAGATGGTAAGATTTCCCCTGGAAGACTGACTACATAGTGATGCTTCCTTCGGAAGACTATACAGTGGGACTTCCCCCGGGGTATAGCTAGTCTTCCGTGGGAAATCTCGCTATATATAGCAATTCGCCCCCCCCCACTTCATAGCAACCCCTCCCCCGAATAGTTTTTTTTTAATCGTAAAACGATGTTTATATATACGAACGTTTTCAGTTTTTGAAGAAAAGTTATCCGTCCTATACACATGATACATGTATGAATAAATATTTAAATAATATCATTTTAAAAGTGTTTTATAATTAAATCATTTTAACCAATAGTTAAACAAAGATAATCTTCAAGAGTACATATGGATAATGACCCCCCCCCCCGCCTCCCCCTCGGTTAAGTCGCCCGCGTGGCACTGTGGTTACGGCGTCTAGAGTCACGAAGTACAGTAGTAAGGAGTCGATCAATACGTCGTGGGTTCGAATCCCACTATGGGACGTGGAGTTCAATCCATCGGGTGAGATCTAGACCTTGTTATCCGAGGTCCCGTGTCGCAGTAGGTGCTGGCACGAAAAAAGATCCCAGACTGCTCAATGGCTATAAGTGCCAAGTATATAGGACAAATTTGCAGCTCTCCACCGGCAAGATGTGGCTTCTCCTTCTGAGTTAAAAATTCTCGCAAGGGGCATTATACAATGTACAATCAAACCACCAAAGTCTCAATATATATACTGACTTCCGGGTGGACGACCTCCTATGGGGTAAGTTTCGCCGGTAGAGGGGTGGGTGGCCACGAAACATTTTCCTAAACGTAACTTTTTACTACTGGAAAAGTTCAGCGAAAGGCTTGTTGCCCCCATCCCTTACCCTTTTTATTGCAGTACTAATAGTCAGTTTATATATTAAAAGTCATGTACTTATTTGCATGAGTAAAATTTAGTACTGAAAAAAAAATTGACGACCCCTCCCCCCTCACCACCACCAAACAGAATTTTTGAGTTCTAAGAATTTTTTTAGCTCTTCTGGCTGATCACAAATACGATGCGTACTAAAGATATAAATTTTTTCTTTATTGAAAATTAAGTGCTATTTTAATATAAGATATTGACGCTGAAAATAAGACCAGGGAGTTTCTAGTATGTCTGGATGCATGATGCCTAGTTCCTACTTCGCCTACCATGCGCGGATCTAGAGGGGGTGGGGTGTTAGGCCCCCCTGGAATTTACAAGGTTTAAAAATGTTTATACTAAAGCAAGGAAGAAATGTTAAACGCTCCCTACGAAATAGGATTTTGACGTTTGGGCGAGTTTAGGTTTTTTTTATGCTCGTCAAGAAATTTCTGGGATTGGAATTTTTTTTTTTTTTGGACTGGGGTGGACCCCCCCCCCCCCTTGGAAAAAAAAATTTTGGATCCGCGCCTGCCTACCCATATTAACGCTCCTCACTCCTTTGCAAAGCTATGTCCCTAGAATCACGCACATGAGCAGTTACTAATCTGTCGTGAAATGAAGTTCAGTTCAGTGGAAGGTTCTGAAAAACAACCCAATTTATGAGGGTTAACTAGTATCAAAATACTGAACATTTTTATATCAATTAAACTGGAATTCAATAATCCAACAATTAACTTTAATAGAGTTATATTTTTCAGGCGAGAGAACAGTGACGTAGCATTGTACGTTTTTGAAAGTAGGGAGGGGGCAACAAGAGAATAAATAGTAAAGTACCCGGCTGAAAGCACCTTGACAAGCGCAAAAAAAACCCCAGGAAATTGTCCAAACTTGAAAATACATACTAGGCGTCGGAACCGTGGAGGGGGGGGGGGTTAGCCGCCAATTTTTTCCAGAGATAGACTTAGTACAGACGTTCCTGCATAGGTTTAGACCACCCCTCCACCTTACCATGGACACGATGCAGTATAGGTTTACAATGGGGAAAGTGGTGTTGTATGGAAAAAAAACTTTGGCACTGGAGTTCGAACCTACCCCCCACCCCCCACCCCGACGAAATTGAATATTTGAGTTTGGAAAATGGACATTTCTTTTCTTTCTTTTTTTTTTTTTTTTTTGCTTGTCAGATTTTTTTAAGGTCTTAAAAAATTCTTACACTTAGCCCCCCCCCCACTTTCAATTTGCTTCCGATGCCAATGAAATC